CGCCACTCACCCTGTCCTTGCGCTCAGCTCTGTTCGTCAATGGAACGGAAAAATGTCGCCTGTCCTTAAGGCTAGCTGCATGTTCCGTTTCCAACCTAGCTTGCAAATAGGCGTAATTTGTGTTTTTGCCTTTTTCTGTCGAACGGAGGCAAGGCGAAGTGCGAATCTTGTGCTCCTCCCCTCGCGCTGGACTTACACTTTGCGCTCGCCTCGCGTTTGCCTCCATTCGCCTCAACGAATCAGATGAAAACACTAAACCATACACGGCTTAAACAGTCGCATTTTGCTGTATTCACGACGGTTTTGCTAGTTCTCGTTTGCTCTTTGTAATAATTTTCTTTATTCTGATCGGCCATCATTATATCGTTGATCGTGGATTTTAGGACACTTACTACGAAAACTACCTGATAAGCTTCTGCTTTCTTTTATTTCAGTCGAGCCAGTAAAGCTTTCCCCAACCAGCAAGCCCTAAAAGAAAGTGGCTGTGCACCATGTTTTACAGAGGTAATTTAACCCTTTACGCCCTAACATCAGTATGCCTATTCTCCATACTGTTTTCTAAACATTTCTTAAGGTGTCGACAAGGAGAATTTGTTTAACAATCAAGAGCTTCTTTAGTTGGCAATCATTTCCGTTATTTTCGTGAGTTTCGTGTTTGATTCAGAGGCGATATTGTAAGGAGAAATTAGTCGCTGGTCCCTACCCGTTGTAGTGTGTCACCAGAACGGTTAGGAGCTGTAAGTGCTCTGGAAAAAACAAAAGAAACAAAAGAAAAACCGAAAAAAGACGCTTCTCATCAGGATAGACTGTTCCAGATTTATTTACATTTACATTTGCACTTCCACTTTTCAGGCTTTGCCGATTTTCCTCAAAGCGCTGCACGTTCCCATTCATCGAGACACCATTCACTCTGGCGTGCGGCAGTACCTCCACAGGATGATTGTTTGCCTGGGCGAGGGAGTGCTACCCTTCATCCCTGTTGCAGTTTCACATTTGCTGGAAGATTGCACGGTAAGTACCAATGGAGGCATGACGTATATACTGATGAAGAAGGCAAAGGTTGGAAATGAAATATTACAATATATTTCCCTTGGTGGGAAGCTAGTCTATGGCAGATTCTCCTTAATATTTCATCATTCCCGAGACTCGGTGATGCTCCTTGAGATGGATTGGGTTTTTGTGTAAAGTTTCAGCTTGAACGATAAGTGCAATTACGTCAGTAAGGGGGTAAGGTTTTAAGAAAACTGTAGTGCTGCGTTGGTGGGAGAGTATAACGGGGTAATTAAGTATTATCAACTAAGCTGATGATGTAAATTAGCCATCGTAAAGAGTTTAAAAGCTGAAGTTTCGAGCATTAGCCCTTCGTCAGAGCGATTGAAGGAATTGTGAGTTGTGTGTTTATATGCTGAAAATGGAGCTACGCTATTGGTGGGAATATGGTGACGAGAAAACAATAATAAATTAAAAGCGCTCTGTGATACCGTGGGGGTTACCAGTGCCGATTGGAAAGGTAAATTTTTGTTCTAGAGTTTTGCGGCTTTTCAGCCTGCTTAAATGTAGGGAAAGGCCGCAAATTGCCATATGCTGCTTAGAACGGTTAGGGAGATTAAAGTGTGTAGAAACTGGTTTGGATGCGTCCTTGTCATTTCTTTCTACGTCGCAAAGGTGTTCTCGGAATCATTTAGAGCTTGGTGGTGCCCGTTTCGATCCAGCCTGCTAGACACCAGACCTCCCCCTCTTCCTTCTCACTAAAGAACGAGACTCGCTTGCATGCCATATGCTGGGCTTGAACCAAAATCTGACTGCATTTAATTTTCGAAAAGCTCACAGAGAGACCAGCTCAGTACTTTCTATCTTTAGTGATTCAAAGGTTTTCTTTGTTTTGTTCCAGGCGCGGGACATTCAAGAATTCATTCCGCTGATCAATCAGATCATCAGCAGATTCAAGGTACATCTCTAGAGTGTCTTCTTATGCATATTTGTAAATGACATATCTGCCCTTCTCCGTTGCTTTCGCGATTTTCTTATCGTTTTATTTGTACGAATTTGTAATATCAATGACCAAGTCATGTGAGCTCAATATTTCTCTTTTTTTGTCTTCACGTTTCCTCCTAGACTCAAATTGGCCCCTTCCTCAGGGACGTTTTCATGGCAATTGTTAACACAATCTTCACGGTCCTTGGCAAACCAGCAGATGAAAAAGATGCACAGGTTACGAAGGCTCCCTAAACATCTTAAATCTCAAGATCTGATAAAAAATTCTGTCATTTAATAACCACATATTTATTTGTTTGTTTGCTAGTCTGGAGAACTAGCAGTCCTATCAGAACAATGTCCCCTAATTGGTAGTTGTCTTTCGTCTCATTAGCGGTCTACTTGATATGCGTTGAAATTGTAAGGAGAATCTCTAAACTTATCTCTCTTAGGCTGAAACGAGCCATAGGATAACCCCGCTCTTTCCAGAAATAGCGCTAGGCTCAAGGATCATCTCTTCCCTATGCTCAAGTTGTGAAAGTGAAATGTTTTCCTTCTTCGACATCAAACCCAACTTGTTCTCTAATTTTGAGTGAGCTTATCTTGATTTGTTCCAAACGTATCTTGAGAGCATGTCGATAGTCTACACGCACTCGGTAAAGGCGTGAAAATTTTGTGTCAACGCGTTGCAGTTGCGAGTTTCATAACCGACATGCGTCCAAAACAGTTCATTCTTTTCCTGTCGCAGACGTTTTAGCTCCCCCTACTTTCTAAGTGCAATATGACGCCCCATTCTATTTAGCACTTACGGTAGTGTTGTTCATAATTTCTTGCAGGCTGTCAAGGAAAAGGAAACTCTGAGGCGTAGTTATTTCTTGTTTGTGGGTGCTGTGGTAACTAATGATGTGACAGTGGTCCTCACCTCTCAAAGTGAGTGACAGGTTCTCGTTTCTTCTCTCCATTCGTTTGGTTTTTTTTCTACACCTTTCTCCTCCAGCGTGTGCTGAACTCCAGATCAAGACTTCTGGGCTTCAACCATGGTTGAGCCATTGTGCTGTGTCGTTTAGAGAGACTCTATGAGCTGCTTATTTACACAAAGTTTAGCCGTTTTTTAACAATCATTTTTATGAACAGTGTCCAGAAGACCGAAAGCCAACAGTGGAATGACATTTATTTGATTAAATCAACCCACTTATAGAGAATCCCTTAGGCCCACTGCTCTCATAAAACCGCGGTTTGAGTGAGACTTCGTTATTTAGCCTCTCCCCACCCGGGAGTGTAAATAGGTATTGGCAAATTGTAGGGGAATCTTATTGGAGGGCTGCTGGCGATGGACCACATTTCCATTGTGGAGGAATAGTAAGCACTGTATCCCTTTAGGAAACAGAGATAAGCTAAGGTGGAAATGGACTGACCGATTCGTTAGACCTTATCCCTTTTTTGAAGATTTTACTTGTTGTCGTGTCAACTATTAAAGGGTTGCTGTACTTTGGTATGGTTATTTATTTTGTTCCCCCTTTTAATCTCATGTTAGGTCCGTTTTTGTGTGGCTTACACAAAGTTTAAACCAGGCAATGTCATGATCCAAGATATTTATTGATCTTATCAACTGGCAATTGCCGCCAGGTTGTGGAAGCTGAAATAAATCCTTCGTCGATTTTTCAGTGTTTTTTTTAAGTTCCTTTTTTCCCCCTTTCTTTTCTTTTGAAAATTTACATTGAGCTATCTTCTTTTTTTCATATCAGCTCCCCATGATTTACACCAGGTGTTGTTGACATTGATTCAGGGAGGAGTAGAATTTCCAGATCCGGTGGTAAATACTTTTTTTTTGTCTGATTTAAAATCTAGAATTGTGAAAAATAAACAACGTTCCGCCCACCGCATGCAAGAAAATTTGAAAACGACGTTTACACCCTTCAACGCAAGATGTGTTTTCTGTCCACACTGGAAAACGGATAAATGCTTTTAGTTCACATTAAGATGATCCTTGACGAATCCTTCAGCATACAGGGGACTCGGTCCGAATGTGTTTTTAGTCTGTCTGATCTTTCTTGAAAGAGTCACCATGCATTTTAGCCATTTTCTTTCTCTATTTGGTCGTTACGATACCAAATGGAAGCTTAAATCGCCTCCTAAGGGAAAAAGTAAAGTAATTTCTTACAAACCTTCGCCCTGCCGCCTAGCCCCTCGCATTAATGGAAGACGTTCTTTAAATGATTTCTTCTATGTTATTATCAGGCTCAAAAGATTTCCTTCAATATTCTTCGTAAACTGGTTGAACTCTGGGGTAAGGATTTCTACTTCTGTTTTCTAAAAGTGAATTTTATTATTTGAAGAATCACAATTGAAATTGTGTCTCGTTCACTCCTCGTAGGTGGCAGCAATGGATTGAATGGTTTCAGAGAGTTCATTTACGAAAATATTGTACCTGCAACGTTTGTGGCTCCAATGAAGTCGAACTTTGACATGAATGACGCACAGACTATTTTGGTATGTAACTATTGGCCTCCCTCGTCTTATTTTTTATTGCTCAGAGAGAGCGTTGTAACTTACCTTCCCTCTATGATAGCATACATAGCCCTTTCCGATTAATCATTGGAAAACCAAAACCAAAGGAATCGGAAATTACCTTGAAGAACCAATGTGAAGGTAAAGTCGAAATAATCAAACCGCTAAAGCGCGGGAAAACGCGGGCGACCAAGTCGTGGTTGGTTTTAGTGTCTCCTCTGATTGGTTGACAGAGTGGCACGAGTTTTCAGGACCAATCATAGAGCGAAGTAAAGCGAAAACAAAGCAATCCAGAATTACTTTTTATACTCAATCTTAAATTGTTCTATCCCGTTGGGTCTTAATCAGCTAGAATATATGGCCTTTCTAAAACCTTCGTCATTATGAGTAGTTTCGTTTATGTAGCTATTGCATTAGAGCGGTTCTCGTCTGAGCTTTGTTCAAACAAAACCAAAAATATTCACGACTTCTAGGCAGGTTAAAATTTCTGCTCATGACCGTTTTGTCTTTCCAACAGGCTTTGCAGGAAATTGCTCTCACGCAGAAAATGATTTTGCAGAAACAGGTATGGCTGTTTGCAGTTATTAGATATGACTAAACATTCAATCAATTTTTAGCCGAAGGGCATCTTTGTAAATTGGTTGGGATAATTTACT